CGGCCCCCCAGCTGCTGTACCACAGATGTCCGGAGCAAAGCCATGGAGCACGGGGGCAGCGGGACAGCCCAGACGCGCCGTGGCTGTCCTGCTGCCCTCAGGCTCCGCAGCTTTGCTCTGCTTTGCTCCCCGTCTCCCTGGTCTGCAGACGCGTCTGGGCTGTCCGCTGCCCGCGTGCTCCGCCGCTTTGCTTCCTCTCCCTGGTCTGCTGGAGACCAGGGAGACGGCCCCGTTCGTAACTGCGGATCCGACGTAAGTCAGATCTGCGTAACTTGGGGACTGCCTGTACTTCAAACTAAAACCAACCGGTGCAGCCAGGCTATACCTTCTAGACCTGTCTTCCACTGTCAGCGTCTGGGCTGTCCGCTGCCCGCGTGCTCCGCCGCTTTGCTTCCTCTCCCTGGTCTGCTGGAGACCAGGGAGACGGCCCCGTTCGTAACTGCGGATCCGACGTAAGTCAGATCTGCGTAACTTGGGGACTGCCTGTACTTCAAACTAAAACCAACCGGTGCAGCCAGGCTATACCTTCTAGACCTGTCTTCCACTGTCAGCTCTCAGACCTTTCTGGGAGTGCTGAGAAACAAACCCCAGAAAGGCACAGAGAGTCAGATGCACCCTGACTCCCTCTCCCTTGCTGTCAAGACTCCTTCAGATGGGACCAATCCTACTTGTGGTTTGCTTCCCCATTACCTGCACCCACTCTTGTTCCTGGTCCAAGAGAACTGTTGAAAACCATCTGAATATGGAAGGAGGAGACAGGGACTCCCCGTAGACATGACTCTACAGGTGTCTCCACCTGCCAACAGCCACCCCATCCCTCACTATAAAGTCAAAATAAAGCCTAGGACATTATTTAGTCCCGAGAAAATGTCATCCTAGGAGCAGGGATGTTAGATATCGTGCAACTAAATAGTCGTGTAGCCACATGAAATCTTAGGGGTTACATGACTATTTGATAGTCTGCAGGGGCGGGGCTGGCAGGATTACCAGGGAGCCTCCTGCCACCCCACGTTGGGCAGAACAACCTCTGTCCATGGGGAGCTCAAACCCCCTATGGACATGAACTGCTGCTGCGGACCAGCATCTGTCTGCAGCAAGCCTGGGCCGCTGCAGACAGAGGTGCTTCACGGCAGCCTGCTTTGCCCGTCCCTCCCCGTGCTGCTGCCTTTGATAGAGACAGCAGCACCGTGTGTGTGGGGGGGGGGAAGGGGCACCAGCTCCTGCCTGCCCCTCCTGCCCACTGCATCTGCTTGAAAGCCAGCTCCCCGTGTGTATCAGCTCCAGCCTGCCCCCCTCACCATCTGTGCTGCTGCCTCTATATCAGAGGCAACAGCGCCAGGGGCCGGGCAGATTTGGTGCTTGTGGGGAACCTGCTTAAAGCCAGCTCCTCACAGGCACCGGCTCCTGCTTTCCGCAACCCTGCTGCCTCTGATACAGCAAGGTGGTTGGGGAGGGGGAGAAGGAAGTATGTGTAATTGACAAGATTAACCAATAAGCCCGGGCTTATCAATTAATCGTGTAGTCGACTACACATTCACATCTCTACCTAGGAGCCAGATATATGTTAGTCATTTGTTAATGGCTAGTGTGAGGGAAAGGAACCCGCTGAAAATGGCCAATACTTCATACACAGAGAAAAGAATAAATTAAACTACACCTACCCACCCTGTGACTATGGGGAGGTGGCAAGGGGTGCAGTCACTCATTCTGTTTTCACTGCCAGATAAAAAGGGCAGCATCTGGCACCCAATTACAGCCACATAGTGCTGCTCAGAAGAGAAAAAAAGAAGGAGCTGCAAAGACACCATCCTCTCTCCCCATTGAGGAAAGGCGCTTACAGAGAAATCAGAGGATATGCCGAGTAAGTCTACTGGGGAGGGTACAGGGAGAAGAGGCACAGCATGAATGTGTAGAGAAGCAGAGGCACTGTGTGATAACATGTTCCTCCCCCACCAACCCTGAAGCAGTTAAACTGCTTTAAAAGAGTTTGATGAACCTTATAGGCTGCATCTGGGGGAGAGTCAGGCTTTAATGACCAACATCAATTGAGGATGAACCCTACCTAGGCAGGGAGTTGAGAGCAGAAAAGGGCTTCAAAGGAGAGGGTCTGCAGTCACTCTCTGAGCACAAAGAGGCGAGTAACAGAAAACCCAGGAGGAGAAAAAGCCCTGGGAACCTGTCCCTGAAGGAAGAGATTTTCCTACAGGAGTTAAGGGGGAAGAAAACCTGTGGAAGGCAGAGAAGGAAGAAAAAGAACGGAAGAGCAGTCTCTGCTGAGACTGCATAGACCTTGACTGCTGCTGACAGGATCCCATGGGTTGCAGCTTGGGGTTCCAGCTTCCCTTTCTGACCCTCTGGAGAGGTAGCACAGAGCACTGTCTGGGACAGTGCACAGACAGCTGGTCTGGGGGAAGTCTAACACCCCAGAAGAGGAAGACTAAACAGCGGCCTAGACAGAGGGTTGAGTCATGTGCGAGAGTGCTGTGAAGTATGGGAGGAGAGACCACCAGCGTGACAGAGTGACATACGCAAGTGGTCACCAGAGCAGACAAGAGCTGATCCCCTAGTTGCAACTTCACGGGAACGTCCCAACAACGAAAATCCTTGCCTCACACAGTGTCACTTTGCTGAAGGTTGGTGGGAAAGAAAGAAGTGTGTGTTACAAAGCATGTTTTGATGGCATATCTAATGGAGTTAGGATCTGGCTTCTTGAGTCTTTCACATGATTAGGACATAGGTTTCTTTTTATCCAGGTTACCAAAAAGACACTGTGTTTTACTAAGGCACAATGTTTTACGCTCCCTGTGTAATACTATGAGAATTCAGCCTGGACAGGGAAGTGCTGAGGAGAAGACCATTAACTGAGACTCTCAGCAGGCCCAGGAACCAGGCCAAGGCTGAGCCAGAGAATTACAGTCTTTTCTATGAGCTAATTTTCCTATTCAGATTACTCTGCTCTACTGAGCAACGCCACATACTCCTTAACTCCCTTGCTGGGCAGTTCGAATGTACCCACATTCCACTTTAGCCCTATACTT